ATTTCGTTTCGAAAGCCGTTTGGATCTTCCACTTTTGAAGATGGCTGATTTATTTGTGCGCGTGTCACTTAAACTTGGATTTGGCGTGGATTGCGCCACGAATTATTGCTTCCACAAATTTTATCATCGAATCGTCGAACTTTTAATTACGCAGAAATGTACTAGATTGATAAGACTTTACGTTTGTGAATTTTAGAAACGGTACTGTAAGTAACAATAGTAGATAATGTGATCAAATGTTCAATAATATTACTAATACTGTTATAATATTACTAATTAATAATATTACTAATGTTCAGTACTACTAAAGAAAGTAACACTGCCACTCAATAGTATATGACAATTTTCTTACTTGAATATTATTAACCAAAGTTGTAAAATATTCATCGAATTTTATGAGCTCTTTATCTCATTGATTACATTTTACATAAAATGTTTGCGCAACGTTCTTTCAATTCTTTCATTTCTTCGTCTAAAGAATCACCTTGTTACACTTTCATTAAACTTCACATTATATTTTACGACGAACATGTGATTGTATTTTGTCATTACGGTGGAAATCTAGCACGAAAACATCAGGAGGTTCGGTAACGAAGAGAGAAATAGATTTTATGTTCCTTTTTTCAGAGCAGTACAATTTTTATTCGCCGCTGTGCTTTCACATTGTACGCGAATAAACTGAATTACGTGTAGGAATGTGCACCGAGTCAAACGTAAAACGGGAGTTTACAGTTATATTCGAGGTTTTAGAGCGATCCACCCGTCGTGAAATACGAATGTGTCGTGTAAAACAGAAATAAATAAATAGCTTGCAGGTGGTTATGACACAATTAACATTCTTTCGGCAATACCCATTATAACAGACGACAACGAGTACTTAAACGGCGACTAATAAAAATTTTTACTGTCTTCAATCGTTAAGAAAATGCCGTCTGAAGCATAGTGAAATTAGCTGAAACAGTAGTTAAAAGGTTCAAACATAAAACACCGTTTATTCATTTTTAGACCGGTTTTAACACACTCGCTACTGCTATTTCTTCACTGCTTATCTTCAATGTTAACTTGTTTTATGAACTGCAAGGTATCATCCTTCTGAAATATTCAAACAATTCAGCAAAGTTATGAAGATCTTGATTGTTATGGTATATACCATGACTTTGAACAACAATGTGTATGTAATTAATTTGGCTGTTTTTACGTCAAGTATGAGACCGTGGGCGATAAACAAATTCATTGGAAGATAATATAGTTAAAACGTTTCGTGGATATACTTTGTTATACTTTCGAGTATATTCCGATGTTAGTTTGCTCGTCATCGAAGTTTGTACATTTTCTGTTTGCGATGAGAAACTTTAGCTGCTAACTACATACACAGTCTATACAAATGAAACTTTAGAAGAAGATTTGCAGGAGAAGCTGGCAGTAGAAACATTCTAAACTGACTTTTCTATTGATCTTTTCAACATATTTTTTACGGTACTCCTTCTAGATACATTAGTTTTCTTATGGACCTGAATGAAAAATGTAAACATCAAAATGAATTATCAGAAACTAGTCAAATAACAATATACACTTACGGACAAGAGTTAAGAAACGTATTTCACAGTTGCATAATCTTGCTTATAGTAACCCTTTTTATCACATTCCGTGCCAAGACGTTTTTGCTTGACTTGTCGTTCAGGCCATTTGACGTTTTGAATAAAGATAGATATATTGTCATACAATATTTCATTACGTCATGAATCCATAAGTAGTTTGCTTGTTTAGGGGAGTTATCGCATCGTGTACCATTCATGGTACAGTCGAATTTGTTAAGTAAAAAACGAGGAATTGAAGTAGCAAGACAAAAAACTATAAGAGTAACGACGTTTTGCAGCGATTGCCCGACGAGCCATTTTTATGCATTTCTTGTTTTAGCAAAATCAACCATCGCATGCAATTATTAATTATTTTATATATAACAATTAAACAAATTTATGTGCTTTGTTTTATACTGCACTTTTTATAATGTCTCATTATTTTGGTGGAAATATATTTTACAGAATTAAATTTGTTATAAAATATATGTTTCCAGCGCATTAAATAAATATTTGTATTGCATCAACAAAAGTATTAATTTTATCATAAACAATGTGTTATATGTCCCACTTTAATTTAATAAGACGTATTTGTTAAAATATCAAATTTGATTAAAATAACGATACGTCTTGAAAATTTGAAGTTTCTACATTTTTGTCCGTAAGTGTATTTATACGCTGCATCCAAATGTACTTGAGCCCGTCATCCTAATATCAACAAAGAGATAACGTTTAACCTTCGACCGGTGGCGAACGTCAATTTGGCATGTCTCTATCATCGTGCAAAACAAACTACAGCAATGTCTCTTTAATTGTCGCTCAGATTGTCCACAAAAATGAACAATTTGGGAAGAGGAGATACGATTATTCGATCCTTCCGGCTCGTTTTTATAGTCGTTGATAATTCGTAGCTATAAAAATGAACCGCAGGGATCGAATAATCGTATCTCCTCTTCCCAAATTGTTCATTTTTGTGGACAATCTGAGCGTCAGTTAGAGAGACATTACTGTATTCAAAAATTGGGTCACCACTAGGAGATTGAAATGTTCTTTCTTTGCAGAGAACAAGAACCAGCTTCCGTTGACAATGAGTGCGATTTTTGTCCGGTCACGATCAGATTCGCTGTTCGATTCACTGTGAGACGTGTCGATTTAAACGTTGCGCCCAGCATCGTAGTCAGCCGTAAGCAAATAAAGATTACAATGCGCGTAGACCTAAAATCCTGGCCTAGCCGAATCAACCTATTTCACGGTAGCTGTACCAAACGAAACAATCCGGTGCGGCCTCCCTTTCGTTTCACGCGAACAATATTTTCCATTCGACGCGTTCACAGACCGGGGAGCGAACCATCGGACACATCTCTGGGCAAAGGCAATAACAACAGCAACAGCGATAGCAACGACTGCACGAATGGCAACGGCAACGGCGCGGCGAACGGTAGAGAACGGTCCCATATCCATGGTGGACGTAAAAGCCGTGTGCATCGGCATTCCCCGGATCATTCATTGGACCCCGAAACAACAGGCCAGCCGAACTTGTTTTCAGTCGCGTAAACGCGTGCTTACGGAGGCGGTTGCATCGATCTCCTGCAAACCACCGTGCTACGGAACTGCGTGAAACCGTACCGCGGAACTGCGTACGGAAGTGTACCAATGATGATAAAAGCGGACTGTTTTACGCCGATTACAGCGGTCTGGCCCGCTGTTAACGAGCATCCACCGGAGCACAATGTGATAAATTCGTGTATCTGGCTCCGAGAGGGAACACCGTGTAACCTCCACCGCTACTTGCATCCCGATGATTCACGCCCGGATTCTTTCTCGCGCGAGACCAGCTTCCTTTGCCGGCGAATTTTCACGGATTTTCCGCCGAAATTTTTCGACAGCCGCGTTTACGTAAACATAGTTTTGTTATACGCGCGAGTCGCGACGGTAACCGCACTCTACCAAGCCCAGTGATTTATGGAGGGCGGACTTTATGCGTTTTTCGCGGAAAGTGAATCCAGGAAATGTAGAACTGTATCGGCATTACAAGAGTTTACGAGTATTGCTGTATCGTTTTGGATTTAATGAAATTATCGTGTTAGAAGAAATGTAGATTTAATTCATTTCCGTTGGTTGATTCTGAGAAGAACTGTGACAAGATTACCTGTGTATTTTAATGATGAATAGATTGTCTCTAGTTTTTATAATGGTTTCTAAAAAATGTGCAAGTTTTGTAACAAACTGAATTTCCCGGATTTATTGCAATTCTCTTAACAACTAATTGAGTTCTAAGAATTGTGTGACACCGTTTTGAATGTTCATTTTTTGGACATCGTTACATGAATTTATAACTTGAAAATTAAGCGATGATTTCGAATATCTTTGTTAAGTTTGAGTGGTACACCGAAAACAGAATTAAGTAATATTGCTAAAGATTTTAAATTAAATTGCAAAAAGTGAGTGATTTGTGTTAAGCTTCGTGTGTCCGGTAACCGTAATATCCATAAGTTATTTGATAATCAGTATAAAAAGTATTCGTTATGAAAATAGAATAATATAATAGCGCGTGCTCGTGATTCCGTGATATAATAATACGATACAGCAACAAAATAATTTCGAAAATGATGTACTATTCACGAGACGGACAGCGGACGTTCGTGTAATTTCATGTTTTTATGCTTCAATTTATGAAATCCGGAATTACATAGGAATGAAATCATAACAGTAACATTACCGCTTTAAACATCACGCAAAACTCGCATTTTGCATATGAATTATTAGTCTATGAATTTTCGTGCAAAATCCCAATGCCATAAATTATTTTACAATGAACAGAGTGATAACAACATGTACTCCGAATCGAGGCAAACAATGTACGATCGAAATAAATATATATTTATTTGATCACCAAGTGCAGATTTACAGTGATTTCTGGATTTAAAGTGGTTTACATGTGTATTTTGTAAAATGGCCTCACAATTTTTTTAGCGACGTCTTAGAATTACTCGTCACTCGAGTGTAAAGGGACATTAAGTGACAACATCTTTCGTCTTTCAATAATTGCAGTAAGTTGAAAATAATGTGACGATATCGTTAAATCCTTCCTAATATCTTCTCAGATTTGAATTCGTCATAAATGCATAAAATCGGCGGTTTAGTTACCAAAGTACAGCAACGAAAGTAAATACAGACACAGAAGAAACAAAAATTGTCTCTTCCCATTAAGGAAATCATTGGAGATCGTAGCGCAAGAGGTTCAACGAGATCAGTATCTAACGAGAGCGTAAGACGATTTAATGAAATAATTACGCGGTCCCCGATGTCTCCGTGAGCTTGGTAGCAAAATTGCCGCCGCGTTAAGTCGTTCGCAACGACTTTCGGTGGCCGCGCATCGAGCAGCGATAAAACCGAGAAATAAAGATAACATTGAGAACTCACGTCTATGTGGATCCCGGGAATGTTGAATGTTTTGGTGGCCGGGTCCTCGCTCGGTGTGTAACGGTAGAACTCGTGCCTGCCACGGTACCACTTGAGCGAGTAAAGAGGAGCCTCCTCCAGATCGTAATGGCAGCGTAGAATCGCCTTCTGACCACGTTGCACTGCCTCCGGAACTATTTCCAGGCTGACATCCCGCAGGCAGCTCGCACCTTTGTGGGAAATGAGAACAGGAACGGAGCATTAAGTCTAGTGTGCATCATTAGTCCGCTTTTACTCCTCGCGCCGGAGGTTGCACAGCACGCGTCAGCGAGAAATTGCAATTCCACCGAATGACAATTCCTCTCCCTTCCGCCACCTAACCCACTCTATGTCTCTCTTCAGTAACCATCCACGGCCCACCAACACGAGCACACCTTTACAAACATGCATTTTTCTTCTCGCTTTCCTCTCGCCACCTACCCCGGCCGTCCCCTTGTCCCTCTTTCGCCATAACCTCGATCAACGTGCTCATAGTCTATCTCTCACCCTCCGCCAGCCCCGTTACTCAAATCTGCTCTTCAGACCCCCCGCCGCGCAGCGCCTTCTTCTGCCGCGAATCGACGTCTGCACGTGTGTATGCGCACATATGACTTCCCAATCTCCCCCCTACCCTTATCGCTGTCTCCCAGACCCCCCTTTTTTGTATTTCTTGCTGACGTGCTCCGTTCACTCGGATTATCGACGATTCGAACTATTCAAGCCCGGAGGAATTGAACAGTATATATGCCATTCATATTAAAACAGAGGCGAGCTTTGCTGTTCCTTGATGTCGCTGCAGGATGAGACCTCTTATTACGTGCTAGCTTCCGGCAACACGGAAGTAGGTGGATGTCGCCGAGCCACGAATGGGGACAAAACTCCGTGGGGCGATTCCCATCCCAGAGAAACACGTAAAACACCGGTCTGATGTTTGAACGGACATATTATTTCACCACGGGACGCGAGATTCGTGAATTCTTCATCGTGCCGCCCGGCCAACTTACAACCGACAATCCGAAACTTGGCGCGACGCGAAAATTTCGTTCTTCGCTCGATGAACCATCGATCGTATTCGTATCGATGTTTACCGAAGCTACGTTGTTTTCTAGATACAGTAAATTCTCCCCAATTGACGCTCAGATCGCGCACAAAAATAGACGATTTGGGAAGAGGAGATACGATTGTTCGAGCTTTGCGACTCGTTTTATCGTTATCGATTGTCAACAACTTTATTTGAAATATTATTATAATATTTCATTCGATAATTATTTGGAATAATCGGTTGAGATAATTGCGAAATTCTTCTTGGAAATTATATGGTGGTCTAATTATTTTCAATTTAATTAGTTTCAAATAAAATTTGCCCGACTGTCGACAACTATAAAAACGACCCGCGGAGCTTGAATAATCGCATTTCCTTTTCCCAAATTGTCCATTTTTGTGCGTAATCTAAGCGCGAATTAGGGAGAAATTACTGTATTTCTTTCTAATGTCAATTTAGATCATACTGAAATATTATTGAATATTGCCATTTTAAATACACTTTGTAATAAGCTTATCTTAGATATTTTTAATACGATTGAAATCGTGCAGCCGGTTACTGTGGTGTGATCAATTGCTATGCTTTTGGATTATATTCAGGCATCTCCACTAGTTTAGATATAATTTTTCAGCGAAGAAATTGCTTTTTTTCTTCGTGACACGCTGGCGAACCTATTTTGTGTTTGTTATTGATCTTTCTTTACTAACACGTAAATACGTTTTTGTGTTTCTAGAATTTGTAAAATTGTAAATGCTACTTCAATCGTACTTGACTAATACAACTTTTTTGGGGATTGGTGTTATATAAGATAGTTATACGAAAACAATTGTCTTAATAAATCGTATCTGTTAATCCTTATCTTATTGAACAAGTTTTTCTCATTTTATGTGTCACTTTTGGTATCAGTTTTCGAAGATATCAGTCGATATATCAAAAATCATTCGACGTTTTCTAAATTTTTTGCCAGCAGAATGTTGATAACGATGTGTAAATGAGAATTGTTCACGTATTTTCACGCAATAAAAGCTGCTCTGCATCTGTCACACTGATAAATTGTTTTTGGAATATTGCATTAACGTTAGTATTATTTTAAAGTTGATGTTTTAAATCGCGGTCATTTTTGTCAACCTAATAAATAAAGAGATCTAAATTGAAATGTTCCTAAATAGTTGGAAAATGTGATTTCAAGAATTTTAAACAAATTCGAATTAAATCAGTGCAACATATATTCTCCATCAGCGTGTAATGTTCAGTATGCGCAAAGTATACGAAATTACATTTACATCTGCTTTAATCTAAAATCGCAATCCGTACCGCAATATTGATGTAATTAACGAGTTTTCTTTGTTAAATATTTTTAACAATTTACAGAGAAGACATTGAGATATATTTGGCTAGTGTTCGTAAAAATATTGTGCAAGAATGGAATGTAGTTTTAGATATGGTTTAATATTCGAATTTAGTGATTCGAGATATTTACTGTACATATACTTTGTTTAGATTTTTAATGAATGTTATATCCTCCCCAAATGTGTGTGTGTATGTGTGTATGTATACAGGGTGTCCCAGGTTTTAATGTTCAAACTTTGTCAGTGTATTCTATGGCACAAAGTAAGAAAAAAATATTACAGATGTGTATAAGAGACAGGTATACAGGGTGTCCCAGGTTTTAATGTTCAAACTTTGTCAGTGTATTCTATGGCACAAAGTAAGAAAAAAATATTACAGATGTGTATAAGAGACAGGTATACAGGGTGTCCCAGGTTTTAATGTTCAAACTTTGTCAGTGTATTCTATGGCACAAAGTAAGAAAAAAATATTACAGATGTGTATAAGAGACAGGTATACAGGGTGTCCCAGGTTTTAATGTTCAAACTTTGTCAGTGTATTCTATGGCACAAAGTAAGAAAAAAATATTACAGATGTGTATAAGAGACAGGTATACAGGGTGTCCCAGGTTTTAATGTTCAAACTTTGTCAGTGTATTCTATGGCACAAAGTAAGAAAAAAATATTACAGATGTGTATAAGAGACAGGTATACAGGGTGTCCCAGGTTTTAATGTTCAAACTTTGTCAGTGTATTCTATGGCACAAAGTAAGAAAAAAATATTACGTAAACATAGGTCATATAGAGCTTTATTAACCCTTTGCACTCGAGTGGTGACTCTGAGGCACCACTAAAATTTGTTATTAACAAAGGGGGTATTAACAAAGTTTAGATTTAAAAAATTGTGAAGAGTGTAACTGTTGCGTGGGTCCTAAGAGTCAATTTCATATACGTAAAATGCATTTTGTCATATAAAATAAAAATACTATAAGTTAGAAAAATGATTTTATATTTACATTTAAATTAGCTTCGAGTGCAAAGGGTTAATAAGTTATAACAAAAATTCAGAATAGAGGAATAGTAATGAACTTGCTGTTACTGTGAGCATTGACTCGAATAGATCAGCACATGCCGTGTGTTTATGTAAGCTATGTTTATTAATACATTTCGAAATGTCTACCGTTGTTGACAATACATGATTGACATCGATCGAAGATCGAATTTATGACCGTACGAATTTCGTTTCTATTCTCTTTCATTTCATTGAACGCATTATTAATCCTATTCTGAATTTTTGTTATAACTTCTTAATAAAGCTCTATATGACCTATGTTTGCATAACATATTTTTCTGACTTTGTGCCATAGAATATACTGACAAAGTTTGAACATTAAAACCTGGGACACCCTGTATATAGAACCTTTTCTACTTTCATATATTATTCAGACAAATATTTCTCACGTTTAATGTGTTTCGCGTGACTAGATTCTGAAATTAAATAAAATTTTGCGGTTTCTATGACGTTAGGCGTTTAACCACTAATTTTAAAGGCTCTTTTTTACGATAAACGATTTCAGATAACAAGCAAACGTCTAGTATTTTCCCGCGAACTACCTCGTGTAAAATTTATGAAAATCGGCCTGCACGGATTGAGTACGTTACCTTGTTAGGGGGCAGGGTGGATTTAATCTTTCGATTAGCGGCTTGTTAGGGTTGAAGTAAGCAAGCAGCAACATTGTAGCAAATTCATGACATGGTTTCATACTTTCATCGATCTACGTGCAGCAGGGTCTAGCGACGTTTGTCACAGAGGGGAAAAGAAAAAATAAACGAAAATTCTCCGCTCACAAAGGCCAAGATCCGGGAAGTTGGAAGAGCTTTTTCCCCCCTTTCATTTCGAACTGAAAGGAATTCTGGAAAATGTAGGCAGGTACATGGCGTATGCTGAAAGTTTCTAAGGACTGCCTTTGAGGATTGCAATGTTCTCAATCTTCCCGTTCGCCTCCCACTAGTTCCTCGCTGTATTATTCGATATATCTACATTTAACGCTGGCGACCTGTTTTAGTGTTAAAGTACCAGCGTTACTGAATGCACCACCTCGCTCCCATCTTCTAGCTAATTACTTTCTTCTCGGCATGCCCCTCGATTCTTTATTATGCTGTGATTACACAAATATCATGGCATCAGAGCGGGCACGCTTTACATCATTCGAAATAAATAAATAACATCTTCGTATTTTAATCCTCTTTTTAGATCGAAATATTTATACGAGTACAAAATAATCTGTGTAACCTAAAATTATTGAATAGGTAGATACGAAGTATGATCTGAAAATTATGATTCAAAATCTTTCTGATGATTAAACAGCATAATGAAATACTTGTATAATACTACATTGTAGCTAAAAGAGAAGTTACGTTAACCCCTTAACGTGCACGCTCGAGTTAACTCGAGCGCGCTAAACTGGCCAAACTGAGCACACTCGAGATAATTCGAGCGGCATTGTACTTTATGTTGCTATAATTTTGCACACTCGAATGCAATCGAGAATTGAAAATAACAATGTGAAAGCAAAAAAAAACAATCGTTTTATTGATATTTATCATTTACGTGGGATTGTAAGCTGTAACACTTACTTATTCAAGTATAAAATATATCCTTTTTCTACTTATCACTTACGACTTATCTCTTCCTTGTGAGCCGCTTTCCGACAGCGTATTCATATTCAGATTCTGATTCGCTCATTTTTCAATATATATTTTACTAAAATATAATGTAAAATAAAATATAATAATAATAGTAATAACCATAATAATAATA